CACATGGCCTCCTCGAGCTCTTCGACGATCGTTCTCAAATTGTAATGATAGTCGCAACCATTAAGGAGTTCACACAAAATACTCCGAAAAACGGTTTGAAATTCATTATCTATTACAATGTCTATTGTGATCGGAACAAATACTCACTTTCACCAAAAGTCGAAGATAAATATCTTGACTCTTGGGTTCCTTCCTTAGGACCTTCCTTGTGCCTTTGTGGCAGATGTCAATGCCCTAAAAGTGAAATAAAATAAAGGAGTGAAACATATTTTATTCAAATCAATGGAAAATTATGAGGTCAGATTCAGGATTGGTGGGATATCTTTCGGATTTGTATTTATTTCTATAATTCATGCTCACCATTTTGGAATTGAATCGGAAAAGGAAGTGCTAAACCGGAAAAGGAGAAGGGAGGCTACTCGATATCATTTCGAATATTACAGGTCTATGGATACCAAACGCAGATGTCTACTGTACTGTATAGATTGATAAGTTTGCAGTGTGAAAGCAAAATTTGAAATGTTTTATGAATGAAACTCAAATAAAGAAACCACATTTAAATCAATTAGACATAAGCTAAGAGGCTTTTGAATTTTTCTATCATTAAAAGCAACAAATCTAGCCTAAAAAAAAATATCTTCAATTTTTCTTAGCACTAATATCATATGATTGTCACTCATTTTTCAGCGTAAATATTCCGAAGGAGCTTTCTTGCAATCTATATCGTTATTAAGCTGGTCCTACAATGCTTTCAGTTCAATGAAAAAGGAAGAAAAAACAAGTAGTATAACTGACCGCTATACTGACACTTTTTAAAAGGTATAACAGTGTCCCACATTTTCCATCTTTGGTGCCGTTGTTAGGAATACCGTTTCATTTGCAAAATTTAGAAGAACATCCGTAAAACGATCGCTTTATTCTTATTAGTTGAGTCTAAATAACAAGAAAGATCAATTAAGCTTATAAACCGGTTAAAAAACTTGTAGATTCTAACAGCACTACAAATAGTACAACCATCGTGGTCACTGTATAGTGAAACTGTTCCTACTTCAGATCAACCAATATAAAAAATAGATAAAAGTATAGGGTCACGGTCTTATAAACTGGATCTAGTCGGTTATGTTTGAGTACGATCTTTTATTACGTTAGTTGGTGTAAACATGTTGATAACGTTAAAAGAGCATGAACAATGGAAGCAGTTAACAGAAATATCTCTCTGAGCGGTGAACCGTATTTTTTCCCAACGCGGTGGAGTCGAGTTTTCTGGTCTGTGTGCAGTACGATTAAATGAATGTAGAGTTGGGTAGGGTTGTTTTTTCCAAATCACCTCATCATCAGGATATTCCAAATCAGGTAAACGTTCAACTTTAAAAAGTTTATTTATAAACACCAAAATATTACCACCAGCAAAAGTCGAAAGGGAGAATGGAAACCATCAACGCATAAACCATACAGTGGCCGAGTACAGAAAATATCTGAAACCTTACTGGAACAATGATTTAAAAGTTATTCATACGGATATGAAACAATTAAGGAAATTATGGGTAAACAAGGGGAGGCCTAGAGGTGATGCCTCTGATAGTGTTAAGAATTATAAAAACGTACAATCTTTGTTTAGAAAAACTCTTAGACAAGCGTTTGACGCATACATGGCTGAGCAGTTGATGGAAATTGATAAATCGAGCGAGATGGACCAAAGACTATTTTGGTTTCTGTTCAAGTCTAGATCGGGTAGGCGTAAACAGACACAAACCGGATTTAAATATGGCGGAGTGACTTAAAGAGACCCTAGAGTTATCAGCGAGAAATGGGCTGATCATTTTGAAGAGCTGTTTAAAAGTAAGCCAAACTCAATGTTTGATGCAAATTTTGAAAAGCCAATTTTGAGACAAGTTGCCTTAATTGAAAAAACGACTTTAAAAGATGGAAACGAATTTTTGGACGAACCAATCACGGAAACAGAGGTTAAGAATGTATGTGAAAAATTAAGTTCAAATAAAACACGGGGATTTGATAATGTAGTCTATGTACATTTAAGATATGGGAAGCTCCTACTCTATCGTCACTTGTCCAAATTGTTTAATTCTTTAATCAAACATCATTACATACCAGGTGATCGTAAAAAGGGTGTAATTGTAACTTTACACAAAGGTAATGGAAAACCGAGAGATGATCCGAATAGCTACCGTGGGGTTACTCTCTTGCCCGTCATTTTTAAGATATTTGAAATGATATTAACGAAGAGAATAGATCCAGTCCTTAATTCGAGCTTTTTTCCTAATGTCCACCAGTCTGCCTATCAGGCAGGTTTATGTAGTATGCTAACGTCATTTAACTTACAAGAATGTGTGAATTATAATATTGAGAGAGGAGAAAATGTGTATGTAAGTTTCCTTGATAGCAGCAAGGCATTTGACACAGTGTGGCATGGTGGCTTGTTATACAAACTGTATAAGATGGGGTTGAAATCGGAGTTGTGGATGGTTATGAAAACAATTTATACAAATGTAACTAGTTGTGTAGTGAGTAATGGCATTCTATCCAGATGGATTGTGATGGAGAGGGGAATCTTACAAGGGAGCGCATTGTCGGCAAAAATGTACCTAGTATTCATTAATGATTTGTTAAATACGATTGAACAATGTCAGAAAGGGGCAATTATTGCAGATTTAAGAGTAAATATTCCAACCCAAGCGGATGACATCTGTCTAGTGAGCACTAAGCGTACTGATTTACAACATATGTTACAGTTATGCGAGAACTACAGCAAAAAATGGAGATTTATTTTTTCTTCGACAAAAAGTAGCATTGTAACATTTTCAAGGAGAAAGAAAATTGATGCACATAGGATCTTTCATCTTTATAGTTGCCCC